AACGGATTATTCCAACACAAATACTTTAATTATTTCCATTTCAAATTCCGCATTTCTTTATTTTTTAATTCTTAATTGTAGCCTAATTAATTCACCTGTAGATAAAAAAATTGTAGATACTGTTAATATGAATAATAAGAATATTGTAATTAATCCCACCACTTCCGGTATTTCCGTAGATTTAGAATTCAAACTTTTACCAAATCATATCAATCTCGTTAAAAAATACCGTGAAAACTTGAAGTTGCCGGATCGACCCTTGGATTTAAATATTTTATTTAACGCCAAGTTAGTGGCTCTCTTGACAGAAGACGATCCAATGTTAAGCCCTATTGTTAAAGCACTTCAAAATAAGGTGGAGAAGATTATTGCAGATTCTCCTTACTTCAAACATTTCACCCGAGATCTTCACGAATCCGATGGATTACTTTACATGGACGGCAAACTCGTTATTCCATTTACCCTACGAAACGCGATGATGAAGACCCTCCACGAAACCCATCCAGGTCAATTCGGAATGAAATATTTGGCCCAATACATTTGGTGGCCGCACATTAATAGACAAATCTACTTTCATGGAATTAATTGCTCAGAGTGTACATCGGCGGGTAAGAACATAAAATCTGTTATCCCTAATTCACAAATTAGTGAACTTCCTCCATTATCAGAACCAAATGAAGAACTTGATTTAGACTTCGCGGGTCCTTTGGATTCTTATTGGGGGTCAAATAAATACATTTTACTTTGTATTGACAGATTTTCTAAATTTCCGTCGGCAAAAATTACATCATCCACCTCTTCAAAAACAGTTATAGAATTTTTACAAGACTACATATTCTTACACGGTATACCTTATTCTATAAGGGTGGATCATGCTACTTGCTTTACAAGTCAAGACTTCAAATCATTCTGCGATTCTAACAACATCAAAATAATCTTTTGTACAGTAGGCGATCACCGATCCAATGGATTAGTCGAAAAACTCGTACACACTGTAAAAGTCAAACTACTGGCCATCTCCAAAGAACATCATAAAACCACGCTACAAAATGCCGTTTCAAAAATCATTTGGAACCTACGTTCTACTTTCCAATCAAAAATTAAATGCTCACCTTTCGAGATCCACTATAACAGAAAACCAAATACTATTTGGAAACAATTAGCTTCGGGTAAACCTTCCTTTGGAATTTTAGACAAAGGGAAATCAATACTGTCTAAGGATCGAGCTAAGGATTGGAACGCGGATGATAGAATCGAGGACGGATACAAGGACGATCTGATTGAAGAAGAACCAAAATCCGACTGAAAAAGGCTACGATACAGATTATGCCTCATCCTCGAAAACGACTCAAAACAGAAGACCAATCGAAAGCCCTTTTAAAGGTAAAATCCTTCGGAAAACTAATGGTAATATCAACCGAGACTGTTTTTATAAAGAACTAAACAAAAGAATTATAAATTCTTCGACTTCGACAGTTAAGTTATCCGACGGAAAAATAATACGAAAATCCGACATTGCGATTCCTATCTCTACCTCAAATAAAATCAGACCTTTTAGAGAAAACATTTCATTCCCTTACTTTTCTAACCCTAATGTTGAAGTAGGTCAAAAACTGGAATGCTCAAAAAGAAAACCAAAACCCAAGAAGCCAACAAAAAGAAGGAACAGACAATTAGACCAGACATCATCGGACAACCTAACTAGGACACGCATTTCTGGACCATCATCCATCCCGACAAGAAGACAGACACGACGCTCAAAGAAGCCACCAACTCCTCCAGGTTACCTTGCTTCGGATGAATCTATGCTAATTCCTTCGGATATTTCGGATACTAGCGAATGGGAATGGATAGCGGGCGGTTTTCCTTGTAGAGACGTAGCCAGAGAGCGCTTTATTTCGGATTCACATACACCTCACATATCACTCGGAAATAACTTTAACTCTTCTATAACCAATCCTGAAATAAAATCTGAGATTTTAGAAAACGACAGTTTCCCAATCTGTGAACAACCCATGGATCAATCATACGAGTGCCCAATAAGTATAGTGCCAGCCAGCCGAACATCTAACCCGACGGATCAGAGAACCGTGAATCAGGGAGGGGAAAATGACACCATTGGACAAAACGACCCACAAGTGGAGCATAATCTGACGGAAACCGACTCAAACATAAACTTTCCGGTGTATGAGATAAGCGACTCAACGGATGAGTGCGCTATATCCAACAGTCCTGCCATAATACCCGGTAAAATTCCTACTACTATTCGCCGCTCTAGTAGAAACGTCGGCCCACCAAAATTTTATGGTAAACGTTACTTCATTGATGCCGTAGAGAGTGTCCAAGAAGCCTCTGGTTCGGCGGCCGAGCCTATTGTGTTAGAGATTGAGGAACCACATGAGACTATCAACAGGACGAATCCGGCGGAGTTAATTGTTCTAGATTCAGATTCATCATCTTCATCAGATCAAATGTCAAACTCATCAACCGACGAATCACTGAGAATGGAAATAGCAAATTTCGGCGAACACTCTGACCTTGATAGTGAACTTTTCAACACCGAACTTGAAAACTTTTTAAAAGATTATAAAACTTTATAACCACGTAGATATACTTTAATCTGATATTCCGGCTTACCAAATAACACACATTACTGAGTAAACCGGTGCTAACATTCAGATATTAACATCTGCTCACTAAACTTGAGAACTTAATCCTGCGGATAAATTTTCATGTAGAAGACATTTTCAAGTGTCCTCCTAATTTCCTTAATTCGCATACACTCCAGTTTGTGTTTTACAAACCAAGACCTCCTCCATCAAAATTTTGTGCTATCTAGGTATTTTACCTTGTAAACCGGTGCTAATTTCCAGTTACCAAAAAGTGTTTGCTAAATTTGACAACTTTATCCTTCGGATAAATTTCACCCGTCAAAAGAAATTATTATCTGTTGATCCCATAATTTCTTTAAATCATATCCTCTTCACTCACGCATTATAAACTATGACCTCACTCATAAAACGTGGTTTTAAATTTCAGCGTTATGCCATAACGTGATGCCTTACCTCATCTTAACATAACCCTTATCCATCGGAATCTGGATAATCTTTGTTCTTTCATTTAACACTAGTGGAGCTTACTTAGTGCTAGTACCTCATCTCAAGGCGCTCTAATTTTCTTTCCTAGTCCTTAAAGGGGGAGAAAGGAGTCAGTCATAGTTAGTTATTGTGCATTACTTATTACAATTTAAATTTTTTCCTGCTTAGGGGAATGTTGTGATTTTACATCAGGTTTTGCAATTATTGCTAAACATACTTATTTAATTAACCGGTCACTTAGTTATGACCTTCACTAGTGTAACATTCGTCTACTGCAGTCACACATGAGGCTTAAGAAAAATAGGCCCTATAACCACTGGCTCAAGGGTCAGGGACACTATCTCTTGTGTTTTCCCACCTCAAGAACGGTCGGAGCCAGTTCGGTTCGCTTGTGACATGAGACTACGACCCGTTACAGCTTAAAGGCTACTACTAAAATATCCCCCCACTCTAGAATTAGAAACGTCCCCATACTTAGGTCTCTAGATACCCAAAATACATGAACGCCGTTAAAAACCGGGTTGGAACAATCCGTTAGGTTACTTTTTATTAGACAGTGTGACTTTGATCCATTTCAGATGGATCAACCTAAAACTCGCCTTACCTCAACATAACAATCATAAAACACACTCTAGAATTTAAATTCGTACTCACATATCAGCGCTCTCAAGAGTTGGGAAAATAATCCAGTCAGTAACTAACTCAAGAAATAAATAACTAAGAGAAGTTTAATGTTTTATAGTTTGGACAGCAAGGATAAGTTCATGCTCTAGAATTTGAGTTCTCTTGGACCGTTGGGACACTCCAGTTGTCCGCCTTTCCGCTGAAGGTTCACTCTGGTCCAACTTTAGTAATCGCTCTCTCGGGGATACTCTGTCTTCTATTTCAAGTAGGACAGCTCTACTCTCGTTCACTATGATGGAAATTGCGAATAGCAATTTCCCACTCGTTTTTAATTGACAACTTCCCCGCAATTGTTCTAAAATTGCTCTGATTTCTTTTTCTGATTTTCAGTTATCGCGAGAAAATCGTGCATGACATGTTCCTTTCGAAATTTTGAAAAATTAAATTTCACTTCAAAATCAAGTATTTTCTGCTCTTCTCAAGGTCAAACTTCCAAATATGACCGACTGGCACATAGCCATTCTCTCCGGCGGAGAGAATGATCTCTCATTGTTTTAATGTTTTAACTTACCGACTAATTCATATTATTTCTTATTCTTTTTAATAGTTTTAATTTAGAATTAGCTACAACAAAGTAACATTTTATCACGGTTAATTATTGGAAACCTTTTGCCTGCCTTTCACCCCATAATTTCCCTACCTGCCAATATGAACCAACGCTCCTAAAGTTGCGCACTGCTAAATGCATTTTCCGCGCGACAGTCGTAAATCAAAGCTGCATAAGTCGTAAATTTCGGATCAGGGTCTATAAAATACCAACCCAACCTTGCTTAGACTATTGATTGTTTACTTTGTGTGCTGCTATTCTATGGGTTTTACTTGTGTGACCTTGATTTTTGTGATTTAAATCTAGGTTCAACGTAAATTTTAGAAGAAAAATTTGCCGTGGTTCTGTTTGAAGGTTTTTAAATGCCTGTTCATTCTTTGTGACATCTAAAAGCACTAAATTACCTTTCTTTGTTTCAGTGTGTGTAATGCGGTTTTTCAAGTCAAAGGGGTTTTAACTTCAAAAAAGTATGAAGCTTTTTTGAAGTGACAAATAAACAGTTCAACTAAACGCTAAGAAGGCTAAGAACACAACAATGAATCAAATAACCACCCCCTTCACCCAATTAAGGAATTTTTTGCCTTTTTTGTGATTATTAATTTCTTTTTTTTTACTTTGTTAAGTTCTTTTTTTTGTATCTTTTCTGCTTCACTTCTGATTTTGTTTTTCAGATAGCCGAGTTGGTGTCGAAAGGGCAGAAGTTGAGTGCCCCCAAAGGCTGTCCCCAGATCCTGTCCACCCTCATCGCCGACTGCTGGAAGTTCTCGCGTGGCACCAGACCCCCCTTCTCCCTAATCCAGACTACTTTGGAAAACATCATCCGTCAGCCGTACTCCATAGACTACCAGCACAACTCAAACTCCAGGTAATTTTTTCACAAAAAGGAATTTAACATCAATGGTTATATCTAATAATAAGAAGTAGCAGAATGGGATTTATGGGGGTGTGGGGGGGGGGGGGGGGATTGAGTTTAGGAATTTGACCCCCTCGTCATCCCTTGGGCACTATTTTAAGGCATCCATTTTCGGCCGACCGGCCCTAAAGTTTTAGTAAAGTCACCTCTGGCGCCAATATATACTTAATTTTAGTGTAGCAGTGGCCGCTTAAAAATCATTTTTTTTGGTTAAAACCTTTCAAAAGTTTCCGAAAAACGGTATCGAAAAAGTTATTAACAAAAAAATAGGAACGTTATAGGATTTTGGGAAAACTTGGCAAGTTAGTTTTGGTCAAGTTAAAAATAATAATAATAGTTTAAATAGAGTGATTGAGAGTTTTGAAGCAACGCTTTTAAAAAAGATTGTCTAGCCTTTGGTTGCTCAAGGAGAAGATAATTAGTGATTTATGTGTAATTAAATTATTAATTGATCTAATTAATCTTCATTAATCTAACTTATTATTAAGTTATTAAAAATTATATGTTTGAAAATCTATGGACATCAGAGAAAAATGGATAGTCGATTATCTTATGTTATTTTTTTTTCAGTGCGAATTCCGCGAACGATGAGACTCCTCATTCTGAAAATGGCGACTCCTCAATCAAGTTAAAAACTTTTGAGCACGTCGGAACAATCGCTCGAACTCCAAACTCTTCCGTCTCAATTTGCGATTTCCTCAAAAAGATCGGCCTATCACAGTACGATGACCTATTCAAGAGACATGGCTACTTATACGTTCACGAAGTTCAAGCAATTGACGAAGAAAATTTGGTGCAAATTGGTTTGAACAACCAAAAACATCAGAAAAAAATTCTGGCAAGCTTGAACCCCAACTTCAGTCCAAAACACACTATTGATTCTTCAAATTATACTCAAAATTATAGCGTAGCTTAAACTGTTGCAGTAGTTTGTATGTCACGTGAAACTTCTTAATAAATTATTAATTTCGAAGATAAACCTCACACAAATTAATGTTTTTATTAGACAATTCTTAAATGCTAGTGCTTTTGCACGGCTAATGACCAAACTATTGGCTGCTAGATTGGGTGCTAGCGTTTTTAGACGAAGAATCAAATACAGCCTTTTCTTTTTTTTCCGAACCAATAATTTTTTCCATTCAAAACAAGCAGATTGCTCTGCCAAAAGCTCAGAAAGTTCTAACAGAAATATTATATTAAACCAATTGAAAAAAAACAATTTCTAAAATTTGGAGGTTTTTCGATATTTTTTTGGAGATGCTGCCCGATTAGATGTGAAACTTGAAAACTGTTTGAATTTTTTTTCAAATTTTTTTTTATTTTGCTTTGCTTGATGCAACTTATTCAATAAAAATTGAAACAAAAATTTCGCGGATTTTTCTATTGCAGCTCGAATATAGCTTGAAATATAGCTTAATGATACGTGGATAATAAGCTAAAAGAAAATAATTTATCATCCACATATCTGCCGACACTTACCTAATTTTTCACGAGGAAGAAACACAAACCAGAGATTTTCAGCAAGTTCAAATTTTGGAACAATTAGAGGTTGGCATACGAGACTCTCAAAAAATAAAAAAAAATCAATGGAATTTAGTTTTAGTACATAAAAAAAATAAAACATATAGACGGACCTATAGACCGATAAGCAGTTTCAAGTTTTCCAAAAGACGTCAAAAACCAGCTCAATTTTGCATAAAATCTTATTTTTTTTAATTTGCAGAAAAAATAAGACAGAGAAGCAGCGTTTCACCTTTGAAAATTTGACTTGAATTGCATCCGCAGCAGCAAACAATTTTAACTTTCATCACTTGTTCATTTTTTGTATGAACAGCCATGCAATCAGTGGAAAACTGACTTCACTTGGTAGTGATTGATTTGCTCGAGTCGACCAAATCTAAAACGGATGTTCTCCTCGACCAAACTGAAAGTGCTGAAGCAATGTCGCGAAGATAAATGACGACGAAACTTTGGCACAACCGAGCAATAATTGCGACAAGAAGTTTTAGAATTTCAAGAGGAAAAAACAAAAAAAAAGAATAAAAACAGCAACAAAGGAGAAGAGAAAAAAATGTATTGTTCTACGTTTGATCAAAACTCAATAGCGCAACTAAGCTAACAGAGCTATAATTAGAAATGTGAGAATTTTTATTTATTTATACTTAAGTTGAAGTTGCTGCAATAACTTACGGGCAATTAAAATTTGAGGTTGTTTCCTTTTGAAACACTTTTTTTTTCCTTTTTAGGATACCGAGATCAGAGAAAGTTTAGACAACTTTCTGTTGATGAGTACAACTGTAAAAAGCCATGCAATCAGGGAAAAGCGGAATTCACTTGGTAGTGATTGATTTGCTCAAGTTGACCAAAACTTAAACAAATGTGCTCTTCGACATAAAATGAAATGGCAAAAACAAAGTCTCAAAGAGAAATGACAACCAGATAAAAGAACTTCTCAAACTACAAAAACAAAAAAAAAACTGTATAAAAACAGCAACAAAGGAGTACAGAAAAAAACTGTATTAACCTACGTTTAAGTAAGACAGAATAGAGCGACTGAACTAGCAGAGCTTTAGTTGGAAACATGAAAAATTTCAGTTATTTTTGCTTTGTCGAAATGAAGTTGAAAATGCAGCATTGGCTTATGGGGCATTGAAAATTTGTGATAACTTCTTTTTGAGACACTTACTCTTTTTTGTATAGATTGATGAGCGAGTTATGTTTAAAAATAACAGCCTGATTGTTTTCAGAAAACAAAGATAACTGTCCAAATTGTGTCATTTGAAGAAAATTGGGTGTCCCTAACAAGACGGGCAACTACTTATTGTTTCCTCTAAGTACGGATTTTCTTCATTTTATTATTCAGGATACCGAGAGAAAATGATTCTCTATTAAATGAGAAAGCAAATGATAGATTTGGCTCAATGAGTAGCAGGACTGTTCTGCGTCTTCAACCTTTCAAAATGGAAGAGGAAATTGCAAACTGAAAACTGACATTAGATGTCAGAAAAAGTAATTTAATCTTTAGTCATCACTTCATAGTGCACATTCATGATAAAGTTATGAGGCTAAAGCGAAATAGCATGGTGTCATTTATAGCACGTAGTCAGTTGATG